AGAGGAAGATGCGACAAAGAAGACCTAAGACAGTTGAGCAACTAGAAGCCTGTATTAGACAAGAATGGGACAACATTCCTATTCCTAAACTTCAGTCGTTTGCAGACTGTTATAAAAAGAAGAGGGGAAACATAGCCTTGTCCCAACTTTTTTGAGATGTGTTGATGCCATGAAATTTAAAATCAACTTATTTTTCCCTTAAAATGATACATTTTCTCAGTTTAAACATTTTGATATGTCATCTATGTTGTATTCTGAATAAAATATTGAAATTTGAAACTTCCACATTGCATTCTGTTTTTATTCACAATTTGTACAGTGTCCCAACTTTTTTGGAATCGGGTTTGTATTTTTTTTCTATTGGTTTCAGCAAACTACTAGGCTACCTTTTATATTAATTATGAATATTTCCCTAAAGGGGTACAGTAATATGCCTCCATCATACCACAGTGAACATGCAGTATTCTGTGGGTGGAAATCTAAAATAACGCATTGTAATATTTCATACACCTAATTCGTTTCTCTTTAAAGAACCACAAATTGACAAGCCCGTGTAATGAATAGGAAGTCTATTGACACAAAGCAGTAAAATGTTTGGCTCAGTCCTTTAATGGCAGATGGCAGTACCTCCTTTTCTCTAGTAATTACATTTTTAAATCTCCACTGCTGAGAATTATGTATGGCCAAATCAGGAAGCCAATTTGAATAAATGAAGACTGATGTGCTGCTGAAAAAAAAAAGATGAGACCGAAATGCTTCCCCATGTGTTGGCTTCTTACTGTGCAAGTTTGCCCAACAAAAAAGACAATTAGGGAGAGTGTGAAACGGCTTGTAATTAACAACACTGCTCGCGTGGGACAAAAAAAAAGCAGTCACAGTCAGTTAGGGGGTAGAAATGATGAAAATACACCATTAATCAAAGGTAGGGTTTTTTGCATCTCTATAAAACATTGACACAACAGCTGTTTGCCTATAATTATGATAAGGACATGCAAACAGAAAGCCAATGCTGTTTCGTTATGTAGGTATATAGTCCAAACCAGAAAAAGGAACAAAGCAAGGGCGTTCTGACATTTTCCCAATAGGGAAAAGGGGGTTGGGATTGTTTCAGGTGCTGGCTAGGTAGAGTGGGTGGGTGGCTGGGTGGTCAGTGACTTAGGTGGGCTATAATCAATCACAACATAGATTTGTAAGAAGAGAGAGGTTGCCTTTTTTCCCCACATCAATTCTAATGATTTTTGCTCCAACAGACTTGAGTAATTTATACTGGAATAACAGAAAGAAGTGACCACTAAATCACTTCAAGTGTAAGATGCAAGTGCCACATGCTTGTGCAGGAAATCAGAAAGGAGGTCCATGGAAAAGAGACAGCCCATACAATCCATATCACAATCAGTTAAATGGGCAACAATCTGAGAACAAGCGTATTGACGTTGCGGCACCAGACTGTCACATAGTTCCACCCACAATCCTGCAGGCTGATGAAGTGCTAAAATCACCCACCCACATACCCACCAGCAAATTAAGACTGATATCAAGGTACACTGCATATCGCGAATCCCATAATTGCACAAACATATATAAACATAAGCAGCATTGACACAACATATCAACGGGGCGTTTTTTTCCTCAAATTCAATAAAATTCAATGTTGAGCATGATATGTTCTATGATAAAAAGTGCATAAAATAATCACCAGTATATTAAATTATTGCTGTGATTACAATGTAATATTTTCATTTTTGCTAGATAATCCCAAAATTGTTTATTTACATAATACCAAAGTAAAATGTTACGCCTATGTTTGTAAGTTTATTTCTTCTGGTGAGCACACAAAATATATTTTGAAGAATGTTGGGAACCAAACAGTTGACTGCAGTTATTAAAGGGATAGTTCACCCAAAAATTCAAATTCTGTCATTAATTACTCACCTTCATGTTGTTCCAAACCTGTAAGACCTTCGTTCAAGAAATTTTTGATGAAATCCAAGTCCTTTCTGACCCTATATCTACAGCAATGCAAGTGAAATGTTCAAGGCCCAGAAAGGTAGGTCTTCATTTAAATTAATTGTATAATAAAGTTGTTATTTTTGTTTTCTTTGCACACAAAAAGTATTCTCGTAGCTTCATAAAACTAAGGTTGAACCACTGATGTCACATGGACTGTTTTAATGATGTCTTTTACCTTTCTGGGCCTTGAACGATGGACTATTCTGATGATGCTTTTTATACTTTTCTGGACCTTGACAGTGTAATTTACTTGACAGTCAATGTGACAGTCACAAGCCTCCCGGTTTACATCCAAAATATCTTAAATTGTGTTCCGAAGATGAACTAAGCTTTTACAGGTTTGGAACGACATGGGGATAAGTGATCAATGACAAAAACATTTTGGGGTGGAGTATCCCTTTAACTAAAACACTGTCCATTCATACTATAGCATTTTGTATTTTCCTGAGTCGCTCGTCCACACTGACACACCTGTAAATGTTTTAATCAATGTGCTGCGCATGCATAAAATATCATAAATGTTCAGTGAGATGCTACCGAGAGAGCAGAGATAATAAAGCTTTCATGGAATTCATCTGACATGATCATTTTAATAGCAAAATATCCCACCACTCACTTGCCATCGCATGTACTGTATGGTCTAAAACACAACTGTCATCATCTTTTGCCACAGCAGGCAGCAATTGCAAGTAAATATGCTGCCATTTTGCAGGAATGTAATGTGAACAATATATGAAGTAACATTTATCTTTAGCAACATTATTAAAATAAATAGTAGTCACAATGCCATAGATATACATGGGTACAATATGCATCACGACTAAATATGCGTCATCATTTTTGAATAGTCTACACTATGTCTCACAGTCATACTCACGAAAATAACATTTTCAAATTTAACTACTTATGAGAGAGCGTCTTCCAAAAAGCTCAGTTTTCGGAATGTATACTATGAATACAGTGACATATCAAAGTACACTCGCATTACTATTGCATCTGTTATCATCACTGTACTTATGCTAGGCCACAGTCTTTGATTTATAAGGTTGTACATGACTAAATCAACACTATTATGGTGTGAAAAACATGTCTGATTCCACACAAGTAGAATGCGTCTTTCCATAGCTCTATAAATGTAGATATGTACGACAGCAGCAAAGCTCTTTTAAAAGTAATGCAACAGAGATTCTCGAATCTCAAAAAAGGAAATCATCTATGTTTGGGGAGCTGAATTCACCCCAGTGTGAGGTGAACACCCCCATTCACCCATGATGAAAGAACACAGTAACAGTGAATGACAACCCGGGTCTATGCTTAACCTTTGAAGAGCGGAGTGTATCAGCCTTCTGTGTAGAGGGTAAAAACACACCAGCACAACCTTAATGACATATTTACCCTCAGGTTTTCACATCCTGCTACTTTCTACAGCTCTTCCTTTTAATCTCGAACACATTTTTGTACCTTGCAAAAAGATACACAAGGTAAGAAGAAGAATGTGTGTTGATATCTGTTAACCTAACGAACCAACAATGCTGTCTTGTGCTGAATATTGTTAGAGACAAAGATACAGAATCAGCTCAAGTTTGGAAGCCAATTTAATTTTGCATTTTATTATTTTACTCTTCATTAAATGTCACATTTTCAATGTCACACACCAGCAAGATACAGACGCT